TCCGTCCCATCCCAACCCCCCCACCCCCCCGTCCCCATGGAACCCCCTATCCCTTCTCCAATCCCCCAGCCCCCTTACCGTGCCACTCAGACCAGCGTGTCTGGCTTCGTGTAGCGCCAGACATGCTGCTGCATACATGCTGCCGTGCTCCCCTGAGGAGCCACAGCCCCCCTCTCCCCGCTCCCCAGTACCTGCCTTCCAGATTTGAACACCTCAAAATTCAGGAGTGCTCAAGCTCAGTTTGAGCAGCTGTTACTGCATTTCTCCCAAATCAAATATACTGATCCACTGTAACTTGCTGTAGAAAAAGTAGGATACAATTGAGCAAGAAATGCTTCCCAGTGGTTATTAGGACTGGAATTGCTATTTTCAACAGCCATTGCTTTTTTGTTTGTTTGTTTGTTTAACAGGAAGAGAGTGATATTGCATTGGCAAATTCCCCATAGAAAGAAAAAGTGTAACAAAAGAATAATAAAGGCACCTCAACTTTTCCTCATTTATGTAGGACAGTCTTATAATATGCATCCAGATATCCTCCAATCACACAAGCTGAAAATTGTTCCACTTTACTGCAGTTCTGTAACTTTATGGGAACCAATCCTGTCTGTGTTCTGTGCACATCTAAAAATCCTGCTGAGAGACCTGCCCCGGGAGCGAGTTACCAGTGACCCAGGGCTGCGGCGGAAGGAGGTGTGTGTGGGGGGCAATGGTGGGGGGGTAGGGTGGAGCCCAGGGCTGGGGCGGCAGGGGGGTGCGGGTGGGGGGGTGAGAGCCCAGGGCTGGGGCGGCAGGGGGGTGCGGCGAGGAGCCCCGGGTTGGGCCGGGGGGCAGCCAAAATTTTTTTTGCTTGGGGCGGCAAAAAACCTAGAGCCGGCCCTGGTTGTGGCCTCTAAGATGTTAGTATAACAAGAAAAAAAATGTAATACTACTAATATAAATTACAAAGAAAAGGAGCAACACAATGTAGTGTTAACATCTCAATGCAATATACATATCTTTTTTTCAAGTTTGCATATATCTTAACACAGGATTAAATTGTTTGTCCCTTATTTTGCTGATACGTGAGCAAAAGTATACAAGAGAGATACTGCTTTTTTCAGTTTCTCATTCAGAAACCACTCTGGATCATCTAGTATATTAATCATTAATCCTTTGCATATCTCAAATGCCTATCGGCTTATTGTTCCTACCCTCCTTAGTTCTTCAGACTGATTATTGTGGTTTGGGAGCCTGTTCCTGAAAACACTTCTATATGCGGGTAACTTCACTCAAGTTACTCACATGAGAAGCTCCAGGATCCTAAAGTCTTCATCGTCTGCCAATTATTTTCTGAAATATCCCCAGTGATTCAGTCCCTTTAATATACAATTTCACTAAATTTAATTTATTTCTGCTGAAAAACACTTTTTATTATGGCCAAAAAAGGGTGATGTTTGTATTTTTGTCTGACATTTTCTGGTGGTGGTTGTATTTTCCATATAAATCCACTGACATGACTCTACACTGCAATAAAACAATCTGACAATGGATGCAGGCTTCCATCTCTGGATAGGGTAGGGAATTCCATGTTCTGATAGCTTTTGCTAGTTCAAAACCTCCTAAACTTTGAGATTACATGAAAGGATGAAAAGCTACTCCTGACAGCTAATATGGGCGTACTTTCCAGCTCCCCAGCCATTTAATACTGTGTTCAACCTAAGCCTCCAAGCAATCAAAGCCTGTGCAACAAATGAGAAACGGTTCTATGAAGCGAAAAGCACCCTGGCTCACATATGCGGCTTGGTTCACCCTAGACCATTTATTTTCGATTGTCTTCATACACATGGTCTCCAAGCTCTAACAACCTTGAAGCAATGTTGAACTGTTATTGTATGAGGTATGGGGCTCCCTGCTTTCTTCTGCTCATCTATTTCTTGCTTGAGTTTTTATTTTGTGGCAAGACAGGAGCTAGGGTGGCTGCTGCCTTAAAAGAAAGTATTCAGCAGCATCCTAGCCAGCCTATTGTACCCAATCAGCGGTTAACACAATATGACCCTTTCTTTCAAAGCCCTCTTTATGGCAATGCTCTGTGTGGCAGAGAGAAGAGAAAGCTTCTTGTCTCCAAAAGGTCCATGGATTCATATATTTCAAGGCCAGAAGGAACCATTAAGATGATCTGGTCTGATCTCCTGCATAACATAGGGCATATATTTCATCCCAGTGATTTCTGCATCTAGCTCAAGAACTTGTTCTTACTCAGGCACCATAGTGTGCCGCGTTGTGGTTGGCTCAAAAAGTTCTCTCCCCCCCAAGAACAGCCAGTCACAACATCTACAATTATTTTGAACACATGCCTCTATCTAGATTGCAAGCATACAGCCAGATCCTTGCCACTTCTCCTCCCCTTCCCGCCCCCACCCACCCACCAGCTCGGGCAGGGGCAAAGCCGCCAGGAAGCCATCATAATTGGGCAGCTGAGCATTCCCTTGTGCAGGATATAGCTGGCATAATGCTAACTCTCACCACAGAGTAGGGATTGATCCAGGATCGGCGGTAGCCATGGCTGGGATAATCGGAGTGGGTATAGCTGGAGCACAGTGCATTCCAATAACCCTCAGCCACTAGACCAGCCGCTAGGTGCTGTTCCAGTTGACATATTTGAAAGCAGCTGCGAGGCTGCTCTAAATAATGGTGGGTCTCAAGGATTCTGGTTCACAGTTTCTAACGATATGTGAAGACTGATGAGATGGTGGCGCCAAAAAAAGTGTGCTTTCTACACGCAGGACTGGGCTTATTCAGCATTCAAGCCACACACACAAGCTTAGAAATCAAAGGGAGAGCCATGAGACCAGGGAAACACAAAGGAGGACCGCAGTCAGACAGTCTAAGAGAGCTCACAGTACAAGTGTAACATTTTTGGCTGGTCAAGGCTCAAATCCAGGGAATGTGACTTAAAGTAATGTTATGAATCTGATCTCTTGCTAGTGCACTAGCAGATGCTTACAATGAACTGTACGAATGCCATGATGTGACTGCCTTCATGCACATTCGTGGCCTAATTTCAGTGTAGCTATGATCATGTTGTCTGTCACACAGGTGAAGTGGTCTTAATCCAGTTACTAACAAACATGCCACTCTATCAGCATTAATTAGCACCCTATTGGTAACCTTAGCAGAGAGGTCTAGGACAGAAAGGAGTGAGAGTGAAAGAGACTAACTCATCCAAATATTCCTAGATGTTACCCCTCTAAGACTGAGGCACTTTGGTTGGACTACAATTTTCAGTGCTGTCAAACGAACACCTTTTGAGGACCGCCACTTTAGCGATTATAATTGTGAGACTGGGTTTCTAACAGTGGGAAGTTCAAAGTGTCCCAGAGTCAAAACGTGGTGAGCATTCTCGTTTTTCAGTTGCTCAGACCCGGATGCACCGTAATTGCCTATAAATCTCACCAGAGGCAAGCGGGCCAAATCCTCGGCTAGTGTAAACTGATGTTGCTCCATTGACATCACTGAATGCAGAGTGATACCAATCGGGAATCTGGCCCACCGTATGTCTCACATTCGTTCCGTGTATACACCTGCAAACCCACCACAAACAAAACGTATGCATTGAGCAGAAGTACTTACTGCAGTTCTCAGGGTTTCTATTGTGGTGGATCACTGTCTTTTGGTTGGGCGTGCTGAAGAGGCTGGTCCAGTTGATGGTGTGATAGTAGCACAGGTTGGTATTGTCAGTTATGTAGATGTTGCCAGCACTGATCTGCTTCAGCGACTGGAACTGTAGAGCGGTAATTGCCTGTTGCTTCAGGATGAGTAAGGAAAGGCCACTGGGGGAGCAAACATAAGCAGTGAATAGCCCTGGAATGTGGGATTTATCCCATGCGTGAAGTGACAATGGCGTGTCTTACCTAAAAGGAGTATTAATAAAGAACAACTCAAGAAGGGAGTTTAGTTTCAAGTGCTTCCAATGCCATATACACACAGCATGGTTCAAAGATTCATAGCAGGTCAGTCTAGTTCCACGGCTGTAAAGCAGTGAATGAGCATGTGGAAGAACGGAGTGTAGGAGACCACAAAGCAGCTTTGCTGACTTGTCTAGTGGAGCGTCACTGTGCTATCAGGGGTATGATACTATAAGCTGTGATGCTCACACTCCAGCCATTACTGGAGGCTTACAGCTGTTACCCGCCTCTGTGGCACAAAATACAATTTCACCCACTCTCGCTGTTTTGAGTTCAAGTGCTATGCTGAGAACTGCAGAAAAGAGGGAAGGTTTCTTAAAAAAAAAAAAAGAGGGGGCAGTAATATTGGGAGAGGCTATAAATGAAAGAATGATGCAGTCCCACATCATGAAGGAAAATCCTCTCTCGCGAGTCACATTAACGCCAGCTATAGTAATCTGAGAAGAAAGGATTATTTTCAAGGCAATTCTTCCAGATCGCTTTCTAGGATTTGTTTTTTTCTTGTATCAAAGTATCTGGTTATCTCCCTTCCTCATAGAAAGACTACGAGTTCACTGTGCAACATGGAGAGGATGATGTACATTATTTTACAGTTGAAAATTAGTGACGCCAGAAATCGGGGTATTCGCTAGATTAATTCATTTATTTTAATTATTATAATTGTTTTCCAGATGCTCTCAATGAAAACCGCTACTTCAAAAACTGAATACAGGGCTGTAATGCAATCTCAAGGTTTCCCTGCTATTCATAATCTGCTTGGGCTGTTGTTTATGATATCAGCCGACTCCCTTGACTGATTTACTACATTTTGTTCAACCCAGAGCCAGGGGTTGCTGTATATATCATATAGATATATTGTTTCATTGCCCCATTATTTCTTACTATATTTGCTTCCCTCCAACACCAACCGCTCCACATCAGCTTTCATATCAAAACATCACTTGTAAAAGTGGAACTGGCAAACTATTGCAGGTGCCATATTCTGTAATGGTAGCAGAGGCAGCTCAGTGCTCATCCCTGTATTTCTCTTCTATTGCCTCTTAAGAAACAATATGCACGGTATCACGAGCGTACTAGGAGATGCAAATGGCATCTGAGTCAACACATTCAAATGTGATACTTCCTTACAATGAAACAAGGTATCTGTCAGAAATCATAATCTTCAAAATTAGTGATATTGCTTCATGAGTCAAAGACTTGGAACATGAATAGCAAGGCTGTGCACACTGCACATTCCATCATTAATGGAATTCAGAGGGTCATGAGTTGATTACCGTGGCAGGAAACCTAGACGCAATGATTTTTAAAGCAACATAATTAACAGGGTCAATAGTGTTTGCACAGCTTAAAGTTGTTAGTCCATGTACCCAGTGTTAGTGAATACATTGGTAATTGAGAAATATGCTAAGTGATTATGCAGTTGGTCCTCATGGAGGACTTTACATTCTATGCTATGCATATGATACCCTTTGAATGGCGATAGCACAGTATAAATTATTACATAAATAGAGAAAAGCACATCTTACCTATATAGGGCTCTTCCACCTATAGTAACCAAGTTAGAAAACACACGGAAATCTGTCATGTTTTGCGGCCATGACTGAATATTCAAGAAACCTGAAGGAGATAAAGTCAGAAATGTTAGCAAGTGTCTCATCATCTCAACCACAGAAACTGCTTTATGATGTATCTCAATTATGAAAGAATGATAAAAGGATAGCATGGATCTGAGAAGCAGAAATAGGTGGGTAATGAATGATCCAGGATACTGTCTTTGAATGTCAGCCACTGTAGTATAGGCTCCTCCAGAAGAGCAAAGATTTGTAAATATGTTGTTTTAGAAAACTCAGAACTAGTCCAGTCTCAGAGACCGGAGTCAGGAGAAGCCCTGTAACATACGAGCAAATTCAACACTTCTTAGGTTTCCCGGCCTTTTTCTAGCAAAAGTCAGCAGACAAAATCAAAATATGCATGACCGAGGAACATGTGTGTGAAAAACCCACATTTTAGTTGAGTTTGTTTTGCTATAGATAAATCTAACAAAATATCCCAGTTTTGAAACAGTTCTGAGAATTTGGATTTGAGGCATTGCAGCCCAGTCTCCTCTCTGCCACATGTGACATCATGATTCTCCAGGACGACAGTGACATAAATATGAATCACTGGCATTGGGAGGAGTGACATAAATACGTATCATTGCCACACTGATGCTCTCCCTAGCACCACATGCAAAGCAGGAAGACCACGCATCACACAGTCCCCTCGTGCCTCATGTAACAAGGTACTTAAAGCATGTGAATAGTCCTGCTGACATCAATGGGACTTAAAGCTGTGACCTTCAATGGGGCTATTTGGGTGCTTAATGTTTGGCAGTTATGTACCTTTCTGAGTTGACGCCTATATTACCTAAGACACTTCATTAGTTAGGGTGAGATTCAGAGCTCACTTGCACGTTGGTAATGCTGCTGACCAACTGGGGATATAAGTTAGGGCACAATTTCTGGATGTACTTAGTGGATGTAAGTTAGGGCACAATTTGTCCCTGATTTTTGAGTGGTAAAGCATTTAGGGACATGTCATATAAGGTCATTTAAAAAGGGCAAGAGCTAGCTTAAACTCCTCCCCATGATAACCATCCCATAGTAGGGGTAGCTTGTCTATGTGGTTGTTGCTTGTCCTTAACGATATATAAAGCACTGGAAACAGCAATCAGTGGAGAACTCATAGCTGTGGTATTTCACTTCACAGCTCTGTGAGCTGAAACTGTAGCAAACATGGTGGAAGTTCATGAAGCACTAGATGGAGTTCGAGCCATACAACTCCCATTAAGTGTCACAAACCAATAGGAGTCACAAACTGAACTCCCCCACAGCAATGATTTAAAGATTTATATTTAAGTCAGAGCAATGGTTCAGAACCTTTTCCTTACAGCAACCCCCTTTTCCCTATCAGGAGCGCCCCAAAGTCCTCCTCCCATCTTGCATGTATCTAACCAGGATCTCCTTCCTGCAATAAGGTCCTGACCTCCTGACACCTGTTTGTATTCCCTAGATTGAGAACCCCAGAGTTCGACGACATTCTGCATTAATAAGAACAAAGAGTATGTACTTGTAAGCAACAACTGATACCGAAGAAGTTAAGCATTAAATGTTTATCGGACTTGTGGCATAGCTAGTAAAAAAAATATGTATCCTTTAAATATAAACAAATGGCAAATGCAAAATAACGAAAGAGCCCAAATTATGTAGGATCACAGAGGTGAGTTACCTGTTATCTCTCTGACTGTTTGGAAAGTATTTAATTTCTCTGGGTCCATTGCTGCAATTGTGTGATAGGGGTCCCTGGAAGATTAGAAGGACACACAATGATGATCTGAATGTAAAATGAGCAGGCTTATGAAAGTACATCATATAATAGCAGTATTCGGAATACCAGCACCTTGCTTTTAGGTAGCAAATACACCAAGTCATTTTTCAATTCATTAAATTCCTGAGCCTTGAGTGTTTCCCCAGGAGTCCTGAGCCCAACATCTTCCAGTTCAGCTTGATGGAAGGTGAGGGGTGCTCATCACCTTTACAGTTTTTTGGGAAATATCTATGAAAATCAAACCGCAAATTGTTGATTATCAAAAAGTGCCGAGCTCCCACCCTCTCTGGAAATCAGGCTTTTTCCAAGGTGTCTCAAGTTTGCCACCCCAAAAATGAGGTGACCAAAACAAATTTTAAAGTCTTAGCCAGAATATGCTAGTGCAGACAATGCTGGAGTTGCCTTATTTCATGACCCTTTGCCTATCACAGCAAATAAAATAAAGTAAGAGAACATTCTCCTGAAAGGTACCCCCTTCATGTAAACTTTATTACACTGTGACCCCTCCATAGAAGAATACTTATATGAAAATGCTGATCTGAACAAAGTTTTTTTTTGAAGTACAAGGAAAGGTTCTTGTGTAATACCTTGCTATGGAATGTTTGCATTCTTTTCTTTAAAAAAAAATACATCCCTGGGGTGAAAGGTAACCTCAGAAAAGGTGATGTATGCATTCCCAACATCTCATTATTTGCCTTTCCCAGAGACGTGGCGCTTGGGATTTGTATACAAGGGTAATCAAACATGATGCCTTTGGAGACAAGCTCTCAGAATTCAGTGCAGTGACAGAGTAATGGGGGTCACTTCTAACCTTTACAGAGAGCATTTCCAGGTGAGCAGGAGTGAAATGAGTTCTGGAAACTTAACCTAAAGCCCAGTGGACCACAGCAATAGTGTACACTTAATTTTAGCAAATTGGGGCTCTCGTAAAAAAAGATGACAGGTTTTGAGGATTCAGCAAAGAAATATAATTTTTCTTTTGAAATCCATTAATATTAAAAAAAGCTCTCTTTGCTAAACATGAGACTACTAGATAAAACATCCCCATCCCAATGTCAGTGAGTATTTTAGGACAAAAAAATTCAAACCAATAAAGAAGAGAAGCCAATGCATCTTACGTAGCCATTTCCTCTTCTTACAGAACTGTAGGATAAGACATTCTTCCCCAACTATTCCAATTATATTTTATCGTTAGGCCACTTATTTTTATTGCCATTGCATGATAAAATCACTGAAGACACATTTTCTGTGCATGCTGATGTTAGCTCAAATCTTACCTGAGCTCTCTCTCCAAACACAGGGAATTAAGAACCTGATCCAAAGGCCACTGAAGTCAATGAGAGTCCTCTGATTGACTTCCACTGGCTTGGAATCAGGCCATAAATGAATACCTCTCATGTACCAGGGCCTTTATTAAACTAAACTGCCCTATTGTGGGACTTCTAGAGAACAAGTGAGCTGCAGTTCACTAACTTCGTACTGCAAGGGCCAACTTTCTATTGATAGCTTCCTTCATTTTGCACCTTTTGATCATAAGAACACACAAAGAACTTTGGGTCCCAGCTAGCTTCATATTTATTTTAATACTCCCTTCTTGAAAGGTGGTAACGAAGCAGTCCTGGAAATACCCCATCACCAGCATTGCTGGAGGGGATACATTCTGCACATGTAGTGTTCTAAAAATGCTTTGCGCAAACTGCTCTGGGTATCTTTTCCTATGAATTTCCATTCCTGAATTCCAGCTCCCGTGTCGGTGGTTAGGTGTTAAAATTATTTAAGGTGAGCTTATGGAAATGTTTTCTGTGACATTTTTTTCCTCAAGGCATACTATTTCTTTTAAACTACAAAGCTTCCAGACCATACATCGCAGCCAGTACCACCTCTGGACTATAAAGGTGTCTCATTCTGTATTTCAGCCAATGCTTTCTCGGTCTCAAACTGAATGCCAGATTCTACACACATGCATTAATGAAGTTCACTTCACTCATACACTTAGGGAGAAGCCATGTATTAACACTGACAAAGACTACGCGCATTATTGAAAGCCTATTGAAGTTAATGGAAAAGTAACATCCATTGACGTCAATGGGCTATTGACTAGGCCCTATTTATCTTCACAGGTCTTGTAAACTAACAAATGAATCAAAAGGGTGGAGATGCAATATTTTTACAAAGCTGCTCTAGAAAAGGGAAGGGTAGCATACTAAATGTATCTATTAATCAAAGAGCCAATACTGTTTATATGGTTAATGATCAACTCCCCACCAAGTGAGGGTAAAATACGAACAAGCATCTTGTACTTCATTAGGCAAAGTATTTACAAACACACACACATGCACACACACTTTTAATAACCTCTGCAATTAAAATGATTCTCCACCATTGTAAAAGCTCCTCTTAATTCTCCATTCCCCATGGACTCTTAATGTCTACGACCTGAAATATGAGCGAGTATACATTTCTAAAAAGAATAGGCTAGAATTCATCCTGAATATATGCATTCATGGAAACAACTTCCTTATTTAAAACTATGAGTGGCAAATATGTATTTGATTATTATTTCAATACACAATTTGTATGTTTTGTTTAATTCTATTTTGCAAGTTGTTCCTGCTCTTGTAACTTCCTTTCTGTAAATATACTTCGTAAAAAAATTTAAACAAACAAACAAAAGCCCCTACACTATAACATTATTTTAATTCATTCTCTGAGCTCTTCTTTTTTCCAAAATGATGCATATTTCTCCAGCCTGTTCCTTTCAAGATCTATGGCCGATTTCCAATGTAATGCTCAAGATTAAGTCCACTGTGCTGCTTAAGACTGGTATTAGTCTTTTCATGCAGGACACTGATTAGAGCAGGGCATGGTTTCAACATGAATGTCACAAGCTTGTATTCCACTGTTCCAACACGGCAATATATTTTAGCTTTTTTGCTTGTCTTTTATTTCTAGTCCATGATTTAGATCCTTTTTCAGAGAATATGATTTTATTCCAAGGTCATTTTTGCCCCAGCTTCTTGCTTGATGTTACACAGATTCATTAGTACAATTCAGCTCGTAGTTTTGCTCTACATTTTTTGCAGCTAATACCCTAAAAATACTCAAAATTACATTTCACTTAATGCATTGGCTAAAGCACACAATATGTTCAGACTCCTGTACATTTTGCTTGCTGCCTTTCTTGTGGTTTCTAACCTCCTTTCCGTCATGTGAGTTTAACAAATTTATAGCAGCCTCCTTGGTTGGTCATTTGTACCTATTAGAACATGTGAGATGTGACCATTGACTCCTGGGTGACCCTCTTCAGTGATTCCCCAAGTCTGCAGTAGCACTTCTTTGAATCACTTACACCTGGTTCTTTATCCATTCCTATGCTTTATTACATTAACCGTTCACACTGTAGTCCTGCTGTGAGAGATAAGACCATCTACACAGTCAAACTCTAACTTCCCTGTTTTATCATCATCAAGCTCTAGGGTCCTGATCCAATTCCCATGGAGTCTCTACACTGACCTCAATGCATTCTGGATCATGCTGTAGGTGACGGTGCACTACAATTGGCCCCTATAACAAATTCAAATATTATGAAATCAGGCTTCTTTCGCCTCATCCCTAAGGGCAGTCTGAAAGACACATCCTGATATAGGCCGTTAAGATTTTTCTACATACCAGAACACACAGGATGACTGTGGAAAAATCCACCACTATTAGTCATGTCAAAATTCTGTTTCAGATCCTTTGTTGTAGTGTTGTTAACCATGCTTTCCCCGTGCGGTGGCAAAGTTGCAAGCATCGATTTGGCATGGGAACTGTAATTAGATCTCAGTTCTCAACATCTGATGCTGGAAACTTTAAGGAGCCTACAGATCTGATGTAACGATTTAAAAGCTATGTAGTGGCAGAAATAATTGAATAGTTTTTGTTGTTACCACACAGAAAAGAAAGAAATTATACTCATAACAGCGAAGTACTTATAGTCATAACAGCAACGTTTCCACATGCTCGACTGTGCTAATCTATCTGTGGGATTTTGTTCTTTATAATGGGTATTATTATACCTCACCAAGGTGGCACCTTAATTCACCTTGGCTGATGACTGATGCTCACGTGAGGGCTGAATTAAAAAGGAGAGCTAAACATATTTCTGTCCTACCAAAGATAATCCTTTCAGGATGGAAGGAAGACTATGTGAGAAAACTGCTAGCTGCAGTATAGGTCACCTATATCTAAACACAGAACTTCTTTCCCCGGGAGGCATTTCCATTGGGAAATGATGCCCATTCATACAAGGTGACATCAGTAGTGCAAACTGTTGGCTTTAATGGTGACCAAATGGGGCACCAAAACATAATCTAAAGTGCCGGTTAACTCTTTGGTATACCTTCCTTAAGCAAGATATAACCAACCAGCTGAAACCTTGGTTCTTATAACTCTCTCTCTCTACAGTTGTCTCTGAACCTTTGATACACAAGGATTCAAGTCACAGATATGTCTGAACCGACACACACTGGATACAACCCCCTTGAGCGTTGTGGGTGTTTGCAATACAAACTTGAATGCACATTTCACAGCCATATCTTATCTTATGTTCAAAGTCCAGGGGGCGGCTCTTCAGCTGGCGTGCATTGTCATAGGCAAGGCCACTGTCATGGAGCTATGGCCATTTAAATCAATTAAGGATCAGCCCTCAGATCTGGATCCATATTTTGCAGATTAGGCCCATTTTTAGTTCAAGATAAGAAAATCAGTGGAAGTGAACCGTTCTTGTCCCCACAATCCCTGACCAGCTGTCACTCCAGCGGCCAGGGTTTCCTAAACTGAACATGTGACCCAATTGTGTTTCCTTTTCCCAGCACAAACTTTCTTTCTTATCCTTTGTTTCATAAAAGCTGAATGTGAGAATCAAGCTGGCAGTACCAGCACTTCAAAAAGCGAGCAGAAAACCAATTTATCTTGGGGCTTCTATTTAGTCAGGCATTCTTACAACCATATAAATCAGAAGTGTCCACAGCTAGTTCTGTCCTGCAGCCTGCCCCCTAACATACTGTGCAAAAATGTGTTAGTGCTCACCCATGAATCCCAGTGACAAGAAAGATCAGGTTCCCGTTGATCTTGGTACAGTTTATGAACTTGTCAATGTTGCTGGAGTCAACGGTTTGAGCGGACGTCAAACTCCCTGTGCCGATGCCATCACATGCTGCCAAAACAAGAACCCCATGAAAACAACTTGCAACACAATTAAATGAATCAATAAATGTTTGCTCCTTATTCACCTGAACTTTCATTTCCTCCAGGGATGGGCAGAATGATTCTGGTAAAACAAGAATCACTTAGAACCATTGCCTGCCCCTCAAAATAAACACGAGGACAAACTTGCCAAGGTTTGAAAAATATCTCTAAGAACTTGTGTTGGGAAGGCAAAGTGACTCAGGTTTCCACCCGGAAGCTTCCTGTTGAGGCAAAGGAGGGATTTAGATATTTCATCAATGCTACTGGAGGGAAAGGAGAGGATCTCTTGTCTCTCAAAGACATTCAGAGAGGAGGCTGAAGAACCTCAGGTCTCTGCTTTGGGAGAGCAGAAACTCAGCAGTTGTACTAGCAGGTTGCTGGGACATCCCACAAAGATGACAATAAAGGTAGTGAAGAATCGGGGCTTTTGGAAGTGGTCCTGAAAGGTTCCAACAGAGAAGCTTTCAAACCAGTGAATGTTAACAAATTCCAACCACCACCAATAACAAAAAACCTACAGGTCAATTCCAGTCAAACGACCAAAAACTATCCCTACTTTTCCCAAGGACGAAATGAGCCTTTTGACTATATTACCACTGTCTAGCGATAATCCTGAAATATGTTATCTTTTGGAATATTCGTCTCATGGCAGCCATCATAGTTCTATGTTCTGTGGAGGCCCAAAGTACCCGATATCCTAGAACTTATTCATGAATACATTTAATTTAAAAGTAATACCTTGTTTGCTCTACTAGAGTGCAGAGTAAATTCAAGCAAAGCTATAATAAATGATAACCTACCTTTAGGACAAATGTCAGTGCAGGGTTTGCACATCTTTATACCGTTTTCTTCAACCTCCATCTTGGAGCTGGGACAGGCACGGACACAAGAGCTGGAATCTACCACAAAGTTATCTGTAAAGGAATAGTGCAGTGCTCAAAAACAAGCCAGTATATTAAGTTTTATTGGGGCATAATTTTGGGGGTTCTGAAAATCAATATAAGTTATTTATTGCCTTGAGTATTTTAATGATGGGTTAGATTTTCAGGAGCTCCTAAGTCAGTTAAATAATTAGGAGCCTAAGTCCCACTGAAAGTTATCGAGGCAGACTCTCCTCAGTGCCCATGTCACCTCTGAAAATAGGATGTAGGCAAGCATTTATGACAATTTTACCCAATATTATTTTGAAAAATGTTTTGAAAATATTGGCATCCCTTTTCAATCCAACTACTGAAAAAAACAGCAATGGATAGATATCTGTCTGAAGGACTTCAACAGAAGTCACATGCATGCCTACAATACCCATGTGTCCTGATATATAGTGCCTTGAGAAGAAACATACTGTGGAAAGAAAAACTAATGAAGAGTTGTTGATTTTAAATACCTGAAACTACCAAGAGAGAGAGTGAGTTATCTTAGACTTTTTTGGTGAAAATATCCTATATGTCAGCTATCTTTTGTTTCCATAGACTGCAAGTATATTGGGTACCATTAACATAATGGAGCTATTGCTGAAATCAATAAAAACAACAAGGAGTCCGGTGGCACCTTAAAGACTAACAGATTTATTTGGGCATAAGCTTTTGTGGGTAAAAACCTCACTTCTTCAGATGTAAGGTGCCACCAGACTCCTTGTTGTTTTTGTAGATACAGACTAACACGGCTACCCCCTGATGCTGAAATCAATGGCATTGCTCCTAGACTATGCTACTACTCAATGTAAGTAACAGTGGAAGAATTTAGTACTTGATATTAAGAGTCACAGTTCTTAATAGTTACCACAATGATCATGGTTTTCCCCATTGCAATTATATGGAATACCACAGTAGTGGTAAATTCTACAGTGTGATAATTGCTAAGACTTTAATGGTGCCCAATAAACTTGTGTAACCCACACACCTTCTGGGTGTGATGTTCTGTCCCATCTAGTGACACTTAGCCCACTTAGCAAGAGAGGGAGAGAGAGAAAATGAGTCTGCTCTACAGCCTTAGCTAACAACTTTTAGTTCATGCAGTAGAGGCTCATGCACTAAGCTCCAGAAGTCCCAGGTTCGATCCCGCCCGCCGATGACTGGGGTCTGTTGGCATTGCACTTGCACTTAATTTCATGCCATGGTTAGAGCTGTGCACAATATTTGCAATAATTCTCAAGCCAACTGCAAAACAGCCTGGGGTTGAGGGTCAGGACTTTCTGCAAACATGGGCAGATGAAACTGAATGGCTATCTCATGTGTCAACCCAGCATTTAAGGAAAAGGTGGGTTACAAAATTAGAGACTCATTTCTAAATTTGGGGAAGAAAGATCAGAACTAACTAGACTTCATCTTTTTTGGGGAAATAGAATGTCTGAATATCCTCCTAGTTAATTAATGTCTAGCATGCACATAATTTGTATAAACAAGTTATTTTACTGAATCTAGAATTTCTACCTTTATACAATCTTTTTCATTTAGTATAGATTTCTGCTTCACTCAATAAAGGATACTTCCTAAGGTTACCAAAGCCCAAATAAGAACATAAACATAATAAGTGTTAGTCATAAAACTGAAAGCCACTTAAGTCTCCCCCGCCCTTTGGCCATAATACAGGGCAGTTTTAGAACAGCATTCCAAAATGAAACTCTCTTTGATTAACATATAACTTCAAGGTAGTGTAATAGCTCCCGGTATGCTCTTTGGTATTTCTGCCAAAGAGCATACCGGGAGCTATTACACTATTTACTTAGCTCTAAACTTAACATTGCTTATCAATGGTTTCTTAATAGGGTTTTCTTCCTGCGGAGCTGCACAACTTGCACTTCAAGGACAATGTGAAAAAGGCAGAAGTCATGTAACTTACGTGGGCACTTCTTGACACAAAAAGCTCCATAGGTGTATTTGGCATTGTGGTTGTGCTCCAGCTGGAAGGTGGTGGGATTGTAGACAAAAGTCTGGGGGCACTGAGTGACACACGCTCCGCTGTCGTTGAAATTCATGCAGGCCTGCAACACAAGAAAGCAAGTTGATCATGTCATACCTTCTTTTGAACTGACTTACTTCAGAGCAGAACCTTGACTATCCATTCCCTACAAAGTCATTGTTGCAATTATAGTGGATGGGATACATTGTTTTTTCCTTGTCTGTGTTTAGCCACTTCTTTTCTTCTTAAGATATTATTAAAGGTATTATTATTAACATGGATAATGTCCAAAACTAACGTGGACATGGATATGTCCAAAGCCCTGAGCAATCCATTTTGAACCCATATGAACATTTTCAGTTTAAATGGAACTTGATGCCAATACATCTTGTAAAAGGGAAGCCTTATTTTTTTATTATTATTCTTACTATTAGCAATCAACTAATGGCAAACTTGACAGTTCTAAATTTGACAACAGCATACAGCTACTTATGCTGCTCATATCCTGGCTGAACACACAGTAACGATCTGTGCTGTAGAGGGCCACCTTCTGATCTCTCATGGCACAGTTCAACAGAGGGACTGAAACTCCCAATTAGACAGCAATGAGGATAAGCATTTCCCGTGCGCTAGCACAGGAGGGGGTCATTTTCCTAAGTGGCAAGTGTAACCAGGTTAGTTAATTCACACACTGGGAAGGAAAAATAGGACTCAATATTCAGGCTCCACCATACATCATTGACAGAGGACACGGCCCTGACACATTAGGAGTCAGGTGTGTGGATAAAAAGAGTAGATGAACATAGGGAAAGAATATATTGACTATGCAAGACTTGAACCTAGAGAAAACGCGGATTTCTTCATTTTCTACCATTCTGTATTGTGCCTATTGTATCAGTTACAACTGATAAGACACGCTGACAGCAAAACTCTCAAATTAGAAAAAATTCTGTCTGGTTTCAAGTTTTACATGAAAGGTTTATGCAAATAATTTGGGCCAGTGGAGGCCACCCCAAGCCTGCTCCAGGATGCTCCTTGTACGGTTGGCCATCTTGGCAACAGGATTGTGCCTTCCCATGTAACTTTATAGATCTTCCGGCAGCCTGATTGCCTCAAAACCTCTTTGGCCTGGGGATACAGCCTTCTGGTCAGCAAATAGCCAGCTGGTTCCTCTCCCTGTCTTGCTTCTTCAAAGAGCTAGCAAGAAGAGTCACAACCTCAGACCCGGGGAGGAACTTTAGGGCACTCCTCTCACATTCAGAAGCAGGAGGACTGAGCAAGGCTCCTCTGGCTCTGCACCTCTTCTAAAAGCCCTTACCTCAGTCCAGGGCCTGAGTTGCCTCAGAAGGCATCACAGAGACGGGATGAGGATGGGGCCAGCTGGGTCATACCTGAAGATTTCAGGAAGGGAGTGGGTGATAATACCCTTCCTCCAGAAGACTAGAAGGGGATGTAAGTGCTGCTGAAGGGAGAAGGCTCACCAGGGAGAGTCGGGATGAAATCATCAGCATGGAGTTCTTTGGTTACCCTACTCTGTTTGAGGTGAAGAAGAGGGTTTCCCCTTGGCCAGGAGAGTACCCTATTCACTGGGCTATGGGGTATTCTGGGGCAGGTCTTTCTAAATCTCTCCTGTTGAAACTGGTCCCCACTGTGTGTAAATAATTAAATATGCATTTGAGCAGAGGTACTAGAATTTGGGTCTTCCTCCTCCTGGTTAGTGTCCTAATCACTAGGCAGTAGTCATTCTTTCTCTCTGACCCACTGTATACAGTGTGGATCAGCTTCAAAACATCCATTTTGTGTGGGTTTAGGTGTGCTTTGAGCATGCCTCTTGAGTTGACAGCCTGTCTAAACTGAACCTGCCATTTTTGGTTCGTCAGAACCATGTATTTGAACATAGGCAGTAATTTTACAGCTCTCGGATTAATTCACCAAAATCAGTGCATTTGATTTAGTTAATTCCCAATAAAGGTAAATTCTATGATTGGATCAGGCCCTAAAAGGAGAATCATGTCTCCACTCCAGATTTATTTTTACCCCAGGTCTGAGAACATCATTAAACCTGTGTGTGTAAATACAATGAAACAGCTATGCCACAGGATGGGTATTGGCTTGCTTTCAAAGGTGAATGCACAGATTAATGAATGCCAGTGAGCGGAGAAGGACGGGAGAACTTTTCACAGCAAATATTAAAAACACTTTTACGACAGGATATTATTACAGGCTTTGAGAGGCTGCCATAATGTGCCAATGGATTTCTTAATGCATCATGAAGTGTACTTTTGTTTATTAATAAATACTAATTTACTTTGTTTCCTCAGCACATTTTCTACATCCACTGTTGTCTTAGCAAGTACTTCATCACAAACATGACAATCCTCTGGTGATGACTTAGTAAATGCATAATCAGAATGAGGCACACCGACGATACATTATTCAAAGAGATGACACTTTCCAGGAAGAATCTATTAAAAACCAATCTAGAAGACTCAGGAAGTTTTAATTTATGACTGTAAAACTTTGTGTACCCTCATAATTGTTTCACTAACATATGCAAAACTTACAGCGCTTGTTTCTAAACGTGCCCAAGATGCATATGAAAGAAAAAAAAATGCATAGGGAAAAATCAAGATGTACATCTCAATTAAAAAATAAATAGCTACATTTTCTCCAAGACGTTGATCCAGTGTCCCTGCATGTCCCCCACTATAGCCCAAAAGGGTAGTACGTCTACCCCAGCACATGATAGGAAGGAAATGAGTTGTTCTCAAGGCTGTTGAACACTAAGGCTTTGATTTTCATTTATACTAAAGGCCCCTGGCATCCCCCTGGCGCCCTTTGTATTTTCACACTGGAGGAGCACAAAAGTGCTAACATGATTTTTAGCACAGGCATTTCCATAATTGCTACAGAGAAGCTCCAGAAAAATGTGGAGTGTTCAATGGCCCGTAGAAATCACATTTTCTCCTGTGCGCTGTGGTGTTACAGAAATAATACTGTAACAAATACATGGCCTCCTAACACTTCAAGACGGATCGGTGTGTGGTTAAAGCGACAGATTGGGACTCAGAAGATATGGGATCAAGTCATAGCTCTGCCACAGACTTCTGAAGTGGCCTTGTGCAAGTTACTTAACAAGTCCTCCAATTGTAAAACGGGTAATAATACTTTCTCTCATAGTTTGTCTAGTTAGACTGTGTGGGACAGGGACTGTCTCTTATTGGGTCTGATGGAAAGCCCACTGAAGTCAACATAAGGGCTTCCACTGACTTCCAGTTAACTTTGAACAATGTCCACTATGTGTATTTTCAATACTGTGTTAAATAGGGCCCCGATTGCAGTTGGCAGCTTTAGTTGCTTGCTGCTGTAAGTAACAATAATGTGATGGCTGTCACGATGCTGCAGTCCAAGGTCACTCAGAAGTTCACAGTGGTGACAGGGATAGAACTAGACCTGTATACTGCAAAGCACAGGCCCTTACCACTAGAGCTATAGGAGAAGATTTGTGTGTCTGTGACACAGCTGAATAGTTCTGCTTCCATCCAAGAGAGGCAAATGTACACATACATTCTAGCCAGTCCAATACTATCTATTGGGCTATAAAATAAAATATACAAGATTAGCACAGCTTATGCCATGCACAATGGTCTTTCCTTATGCCATCTGAGAGAGATTTTCAACAAGATCTAAGAGTTCGGCTTCCATTTCCTCTGAAAACATCACCTTCTATGCTGGTATATTAGCATAGGTTAGTTCAGATCCTAACCTGAAATTACTAGGGCAAATTTAGGTGTGTACCCAGCTTCCACTGAAGATATTAGCAGACTGTGTATCTTTGTGAGGTAGTGTGATGAAGGTACATGAATTTCTTTCCACGGTAATAGGAGTAAAGGCTGCTTTCTGAGTTACACAACTAATTGACTGCATCTGGGAAGAATTTGGCCATATTGAGAATGTCTGTTCGAGAAAATTCAGTTTTAACCCTTTTTCTTTTTGAAAGGATGTAGTGTGCGCAGTTGGATTTTAGTGAATAGGAAACAATTTTTCTTCTCTTTCTTCTAAGACGCACACCGCTGTTGAATAGGTGAATTTGTTTAAATGCAGCCTGGGAAGCATAAAAAAAACCATCTTTAACTAAGAAGCCAAATTGTATTCTCAAACTTCAGACAAAAAATATACAAAGCAAAATACATTATATAAGTGTGTGTGTGTGTGTGTGTATATATAAACCCTTCAGCCCAAAATGTAATGATAAATGCCTATAAAAGTTCCCCACCATCTATAAAAGCTAATTATAGAAAAATGAAAGATAAAAATCACATAGATTAGCATATTAATGGCTCCAAATCTGTATTTGTAAATCTCATAAATCTTTTAATGAGTAATATAAGCTGATAAGTAATGTAAATGTAATAGGAAAAATATGAAATGAGAAAATGTGCAGCTGAAAGCTTGAAACGTGGAGGCAATTCAATTAAAGGTGACCAAAAAATCATGAATTTCATGGATTAAAGCTAAGCACTTGCACTGTGGCCGGTGGGATGAGTGAAATTAGGTAACTCCCAAACATACAAAGCAATCAGTGTCTTTAGGTCCGGAACAGCCTCCAGCGCATTCCCGATGGCAGCAGTCACTGACGTACGGCCCGTAGCAACGTCCATCACATTGCTCTGCGCACACTGTCTTTGTCACTGGAAAGGACAGAGGAATCAGCTGTCAAGAGAGAGCTGTTTAAACTGAACAGGGATATTTAAAAAAAAAACAAATCAACAAAGACAATGGAGTATTAAGAAGAGAACATCTGATTCTCTGTAATAACCTCTAGGCCAGGGGTCACTCATGTCCTGTGTAATATCCCATCTACAAAGGAACATGAAAATGCCCAGGTGGTAGGACAGATATGTCTGGATTTATGAGGATTTGTTCTTTTAACCTTGGGAAGGCAGCGCAAATCCTGAATCTCTCATTTTCAGGGAGTTAGCAAAGGTTGATGGTTGGCTGGGAAAAAGCCTATTGTGATATGAATCACTTTTAATGTATATCAGAAGAATCATAGAATATCAGAGTTGGAAGTGACCTCAGGAGGTCATCTAGTCCAACCCCCAGCTCAAAGCAGGACCAATCCCCCAATTTTTTTTTTTTGCATCCCAGATCCCTAAATGCCCCCATCAAGGATTGAACTCACAGCCCAATGACAGGGGTATGTAACAATATGCAGAAACTCAGAGTTAGTTGAGCAAAATCATAGGGCCATATTTTGTCCTCAACTAGCACCCATGTAGCCAATGCTGCTGAATGGACCTATCAGAGCAGCATATAGGTCATGTACTGTAACATACCACACTGCAGTTTTCTACATTTTTTTCGAAATGCTACACTCAAGCCTAATTTTCAGACAGAAAGGACTACATTCAGCCCTGTTGTAAGCCTTTAATGGCATTACCCTCATCTATGCCAGGGTTAAATTTGATCTAATGTGTCAGGAACCAACTGAGTATCTTCTGTTTCTCAGTACTTACGTATCACTGTGTTCTTTAAAACATAAGCAATTGTGGCACTTAAAAGCTGCATCAACCAGGGGACATTTCGTTTCCTAACTGACTTCAGTGGCACTAGGATTTAGCGCAAGGTCTTCCACATTTCCAAAAAAAAATTAAAATCAAATCCTCTACATTTTATCCCGTTAAGTATCAAGTCGTCTTCTCCCGGTGAAAGAACTATTGGTCCACACTCATAAAACATGCAAGAAGTTGATACTTATCAAAACAGATACAATTTCCTAAATTCCTGATGATTCAAAGTCAGTAAGTCAGCAACCAGACAGTGCTCTTCAGTGTAATAGTTAGATTGAACCTACTGAACTCTGTCTAATTGAAACATGAATCCCTCTTCAATGATTCATTGTATTAAAAGGCTGTAAAAGGAGGTTTTTGGAGTTCTCAGTAAGAAATCGGAAAAGTTCACTGAGGGCTCGGTTTTATTTTTTGTAAGATGAAACATACACGTTGTTTCTTCACAAACTCATAATGATCTTCCCTTTATAGCCCTGCTTCTCATACTGAAGGATCCCAAACAGGGCCGTCTCCAGGGTTTTGGCCACCCCAAGCAGCCCAAAAAAAAGCCGTGATCGCGATCTGCGGCGGCAATTCAACAGAAGGTTCTTCGCTCCGAGCGGGAGTGAGGGACTGTCAGCCGAATTGCCGCCGAATAGCTGGACCTGCCGCCCCTCTCCGGAGTGGCCGCCCCAAGCACCTGGGGAGGCACCTCAGGGCGGGGGTGGGGGAGCTGCCGCAGGGCTCGGAGAGGGGGCGGAGCAGAGGTGAGCTGGGGTGGGGAGCTGCCGCACGGCTCCCTGGGCCAGGGGGAGTGGGGAGCTGCCACAGGGAGGGCGCCTCAGGGCGGAGAGGGGGTGGGGAGCTGCCACGGTGGGGGCACCTCAGGGTGGAGGGGGGGTGGGGAGCTGCCTCAGGGTGGGGGGACGGGGAGCTGTTGCAGGGCTTGGGGAGGGCGCAAGGTGGAAGTTTCACCTAGGGCGCGAAACATCCTTTCACCGGCCCTTCATGATGGGGCACTGTTTCAGTACTGACCGAGGCAAAAAGTGCTACTTCTTTAAACACCAGCACCACTTCCTGAAACAAACAGGTGTCTTTAGGGATAACAAGAGGCAGTTTAGTAGTAGACAGTGCACTAGATTGGGAGTCAGGAGACCTGGGTTCTAATCCCAGTGCTAACACTCACTTTGGGCAAATCACTTTACCTCTATTTCCCTTCACAACTTTTGGCTACCTTGTCTCTTTATACTGCAAGCTCTCTGGTGCCACAGTCTCTCGCCATATGTTGATACAGTGCAATGGAGCTTCTAAATTGGTTAAAAGCAACAAAGAATCCTGAGGCACCTGATGCGTCTGACGAAGTGGGTATTCCCCCCCCGAAAGCTTATGCTCCAATACATCTGTTAGTCTATAAGGTGCCACAGGACTCTGTGTTGCTTTTTACAGATCCAGACTAACACGGCTACCCCACTGTTACCTTCTGAATTGGTTGAGGCTTCTAAGTGCTAATGTGGTACAAATAAATGCTAATCATACCACATTCACATATGAAGCCAATTAAATCTCATTTGGCTTGTGAACTATGACAGGATCACAGCACACCACAGTCTGGCTGTAGGCCATATTGCAAGGGGACTTTGTTTAATGGGAAAAAATGGGAGAAGTCAACAGTTTACAGGGAACCCTACAGACCATTGGATGTGGAACTTCAGCAAGTTCTGCTTCAAGCTGTCTTTGGCAGAGGAGTAATGATGCTACAATCCTATAATTAACCTTAATTGACCACTTTGTTCAAAAGCAGATCAGTGCTTGTGTATGGAAAATATTTTTCAAGTGTTCAAAAAAAACAAAAACAAACAACAACCCAAAACCCCCTACCAACTTTCTCCTCTACACGTATTTTAATAAATTGATGATTTCTCATACGTAAAAACTATATTTAAGAAAATACAGGATTTTTATAGTGTAAATGAACCTATTTTTCAAGGTGAAGTCCCCTCGCTCTCTATTAGAACTTTAGATAATGCAAAAAACTATTTAAAAACATAACATTTATGTATGGAATAAAGATGTAAATAAGCAAAGAGAAGGTAAGAAGCAATCATCATTTAAGATCTAAAGGAGAAAAGTGATGCACTCAGAATAATTTTATCCATCTTGATAACTAAAACAAGCTCATGGATAGAAAATATTTTCTTTGTGACTTATGCAAACTGAATTGCAGCACAAATGGAAGATTTCTGTAAAGCAAACCCACTTACTGCCAACTTACTAGTAGGAAGAACAGACAGAGCTTATTTAAATTACTTTAAATAAACATATATCAATGCAACCTCAAAACAGATATGCAAATCAATAAATATATCTAAGCACAACTGGTAATCTGCAGTACATAACCACCATAGCAACATTAACTGATAGGGTCTGATCCTCAGCAGGTGTATTTAAGTCAATGGAAGTATGCTGATTTATAACAGCTGAGAATTTCCTCATATTGGACTGTGTCTGTCTTTCAATATCAATTCATTATTCAATATATTTATTAATTGGTATATACAGATAAATAAAGCTCATTAGTGCAAGGAAGTTTCTAATGAAAGCCTATCTATTTTACTATAGTCTGAAAGTTTGGTACAGTGTTAACTCCCATGTGAATATTGGTACCTTCTAACTCATTTTAACAAACATTTCACTACAAATGTGACTCTTAGTGCTCTGTTTAAAGCACATAGCACACATGTGGTTGATGTAAAATAACAAGGAATGACTGTAATAAACAATCCAAGGTGTTATAGGTAGGAATGGGAGGAAGCATCGGGATAAAATAAGAAACGCTGTGTGCTTAACCCTTTCAGATCTCACTAAATCATTTTTGTTCTATAAGTTCTATAATGAATGATTAATGTTTCCCCCCTCTTCATTTCTTCATGGCTCTCCAGTTTCTAGTTTTGAGCGAGGGCTAGAAGCAGAAATGCCAGAATTTTTCAATGAAAAGCTATTCTCACTAGATATTTGAGCTGGCTTATATAAAGCAGTATCCGAAAACTAGAGAGAAACCACGATTTTAGGAAATTTACAACCTAATTTCTGGATTAAAGACATTTGATTAATTTCAGATTATAGCTTCAGAAAAGTCTCCGAAATTTGTAGATACTTATCTAAATTAAACTGAATCTTTTGTAGGTTTATCCATCATTGGTCATAAAAAGTGTTACCACTATACTATCAACCCATTTTTTTAAGTGAGAGAGTTAGTACAGGCACAAATTTTGCTATATGATTAGGTTTGGTTCAAATCAATGCCGTTTTAAATACATGAAGGTTACTTATCTATAGTTGGAGTCCTATGAGACGGCCTTACAATAAAAGCCTCTTCTAGCACTGTAAACTATAGTGCTCCCACGCCCCCCACTCCAACCCCTCCCCTCAGCATCTAGATCTACTGAGGGTGAGGCCAAAAAGGGAGCTGAGTGCTCTCACCACCTCATTTCCTTCCACCACAAAGCCAGAGGCACAGAACAACAAGGACTCTGACAGAGAAAAGAAGGTGCGTGGGAAGGGTGACTATGCAGAGCCATCTTGAAGAACTCCGGTTTCAGGTAAGAGACCTTCATTTCTGCTCTGCATATTCCCACTGATGGGATAGTCTGATAAGCAGTGCTGCAACTAACCTGGAGGTGGGAACAGAGTCCTCGTTGACTAGAGACTGAAGCACTGCCTGGCTGAAACTAGCACCCTCTGGCAGAAAAGCTCTGCCTTCTATGGACTCCAGTATGGCACCTAGAAAAGGGATCTTTTGTGAAGGGCAGAGGATTGACTTTGGGTGGCTGAGAAAGAGCTTGAGGTCTGAAAAGAGATTGGTGGTGAAGACCATATGGTTTAATGGATCCTCACATAAGGACAACTTTGGTAGCCAGTCATCTAAATAGGGGTAAACAAAAATACACTCATTCCTCAGATAAGCTGCTACCGCAAAGAGACATTTTGTAAAAACTCTGGGTGCCACTGAAAGGCCAAATGGAAGACCCTGAACAGGAAGTGGTGATTGCCCACCACAAATCGAAGGTACTTGCAATGATTTTTCAGAATAGAAATATATCCTTTGCATTGAGAGTTGTGAACCAATCCATGACCAACAG